CCAAGGTGCCTCCAACGTAGACTCGTGTCCTCCATCCTGGCATGGAGCAGGGGCGAACCCATGCCCGGACAGCAGCACGCTGCACCGACCGAGAGGCACGCGTGGACCGCATGGAGACAGGCGCGCAGCTTCGCGGACAGAAACTGCCCTTGGGCACCCCTCGCAGAAAACCTTTTCCCAGACGACATAGTACGAACCATGCTGCAGCAGCAGCATGTCCCGCCTGGGCTGCCGTTCCCCTAGACTCGCCTGAAGACCCAGGGTCGCTTTACCGCGCCCTCGGGTCTCCCCCGACCACGAACCTCGTACCGGGGGCGAGAACTAGAGCATGGCAAGTTTCCAGCTCTTCCCTGGGTCGCGCCTTGGCACTGCACTGTAACTACACCGTCCGGCGGCCACGGTCCCTCTGGGCTTACCTACACGCTACCGCCTGGGACAACCCCACATGGGCGGACATGTGTGGGGATCGGTCCTCGCGGACCCTGGTAGACGCAATTGCTAACGCCATGCAGCCCGGCACGCTCAAACTTGGCTGCTGGAACGTCAGATACCTCAAGAGTACGACAGCACACAAGAACATGATCAAGCACGCCTTTCTGACGCAGATGACCACCAATGGGAGAATTGGACTTATTCAGGAGACCCACTGGACCGAGCATGAAGCGGCTGTCTGGTCCACCATGTTCCACGCTCGCACGCTTATTGCATCGCCTGCCTACATAGGACCGGCCGGGGGCCGCGCCGGCGGGGTGGCAATTCTCATCCCGCACGGCACAGCGCTTGTTCGGTCTGAGGATATTGTCCTTGGGTGCGCTGTCGCAGCCACGATCAGACGAGGGGAAAGCACCTACCGCCTGGTGTCGGCGTACCTCCCTCCGTCTAGGAAGTCCGAAACCATAGATGCCATTCGTCAGGCCATCGAGAGATGGGATGACACACCCACGTACTGGGGGGGTGACATGAACATACAGGTTGACAACCCCAGAGAAGGCGAAACCGACGATGCTGCGGCCCTCACCGATCTGCTCGCCCAGACAGGATCGCGCGTCTGCCACTGCGACGGCCCCACTAGGGTTGACGCAGATAACGAGTCGCAAATCGACATTGTCGCTTGCCCTTACCGACAGCTTGGGGCCTATGGAAGCAGGAAAGCATGGAAACCGTCAGTATCTGACCACGCCATCTTGCACCTGGAACCTCAGGGCGCCCCCAGAACCCGCAGAGACAACACCATACGGGCCGGTGACTTGCGCTTCCTGCCGGGCGAGGCGCATGCTGAACTAAGAGCCCTCTACACCTTCCTCGAGCGTACCTTCGGACTGCCCGACGTCGACCTGACCGGACTCCTGCAACCCGCCGACTGGGTCCGTCCGGCGGCCCCTGGTCAATTCCCAGCAAGACACAGGGACAACGATGACGGTGAAGGAGAAAGAGAACAGGAGCTTTCAGCTCCACCTCTGGCCCCTCCCCTGGTGGACGACCACACCGTCCCCCTCGTTCCTGCCCTGCTCACTCTTGGCCGCCACGCTATGTCGGCGGCCATACAGGACTGGTGGAGGAAGTGGCGCAGGATCAAGACCAATCGCTCTCCAGGTACCCTGCTCGCTGCTGCGGCGAGATCCGAGTCCAGCACACGCCCTGTGGGGGCACTCGCGGCCTGGCTTGCCGAGTACGAGTGGGGCGGCAACGACCTGACCCCCCAGCAGGCCGCCCCCTGGCTGCGAAAGTGGGACAACGACACCGCTCAGAGACGGGCGGCTCGACTCACCCCCGTACAAAGGGGCCCTGGCGTCGCGTCCCGCTCTCGCCTCGCACTACCGCACGGGCCGAGAAATCTTCGTCAAAACGCACGCCATTCTCGGGGTGCGTGACACTGATGGGAGGTGGAAGGAACGCACGAAGGAAGTTGACGACGTCCTTAGGCGGAGCCGTAACCATATCTGGCAAACTGCTCCCCCCTTCCCCCAGCTGCGGACCGAATCCTTGACGAATACTTCTGGCACAAGGATCTTGGGCAGTTCCCGGACTCACCCAAACCGCAGTGGGGCAGGATTGCCTCCCTCGTCTTGGGTCCAAGCGGCAGTGCTCCTGGGGTGGATGGAGAACCGTACGAACTGTACCACCCCGGGGCCCGTTTCGTCGCCTGCCTGCTCGCGCAGGCCTGGTACGCCGCGGACCTGAACCCAGATCTTATCGACCTGGTCCTGGGCCCTTCCATTGATTTGTTGGTCTGGATCGGCAAAAAGGCTGCCGCTGAATTGCCTAACGACATGCGACCCTTGCAACTCCCCACCTGCCTTCGGAGACTGCACGGCGCGACCATTGCTGACCAGTTTGGCCCGGTGATCGAACCCAGACTCAGCCCTAATCAAGCGGCCAAGCGAGGGGGGCAGTGTGGTCCCAACATCACATCTGCCACTAACCACCTTGCCCTGGACCCGGTGCCCGACACCGAACCCGGGCCATCGTGGACAGCCCTGCTGGGCGAGCACCAAGAGGCCGTGGACCATTACATACAGAGCGCCGCAAGATCCCTGGGCCCAGCCCCCAGCACGGCCGTCCTCTTCTGCGACCAGAACAAAGCCTACGAGCGTATATCCTTGCAATGGATGGGGCAGCTGACGGATCGTTGACAAATCCCCAGCTGGCTTCTTCACTCAGTGGACGCCCTGGTCAGTAGCAGGAGCGTGCACACCTGCAAAGGGAAGTACAAGAGCAGAATAAGGAGGCTCCTCCGCTCCATCGGAATGGGGGGCACCGCCTCCCCGCTCCTCTGGTGCCTGGGCTATGACCCCCTCATCTGCGCCCTTGGAAACATCACGGGGTCGGACGACCCGACGTACGTGGACGACCTGGCCGCGCTGCTAGGCGCCACAGCTCAAACACTCCGTGCTGGCATTGCGCTGCCGTGGCTTGCAAGGGCGGCTGGGCTCTTGGTTGAAGCCCACAAGTGCAAGGGAGTCGAGGCACCGTGCAGGGTCAACGTCAGGCAACTCCTGGCAACTGCCCCCGTGGACTTCACCGACAATGGCACCACGACGACGGTCACCGGCTTTCCGGAGGCACTTATACTGGACATGATCAGACGGGTCGGAGGGCCGGACAGCGCCGCGTTGTGTACTCCATGGAGCTGCCCTTGCAGGTGCAACTTCAAAACGGCCCTGGTTCCAGCCAGCAACCACGAGTGGTGGAGACGTGCCATGGACTACACCCCCTTCGGCTCGTCCGCTGTGCGGCCACAGTGGCCCCACCTCGGCGCCTGCGTCGTATCTCGGGCTGCCGAAGGAGAGACCTCACCGCCCAGGGGCACCATGACCTGGGGACAGCTCGATGCTCTCGTCGCGGGCACTTGGGGCAAACCGCCCCCCAAACTCCGGGACAGAGCCATGGCCTTGCACCTGGCCAACATGTCGCCTAACAAAACCGCCCTTGCCTGGAATACTTATCTGATTGCGCTCATCCCCTACCCCTCTCACTACTCTCTCCCTGACACCGTTCATGAAAGGACGCTTCGTGCCCACCTTAGAGTCGCTCTCGGCCTGGCCTCTGCCTCTTGAATTCCCGACAACATTTTCACGGGCCTGGGCATCCGGTTCCAGGTCCCTGGCTGCCCCAAGTGCCCTGTCGCCACCTCGCGTGCGATTGCAGCCAGAGCCCGCGTCCTTGACGACCTGTGGGGCCCGCCCCAGTCACGACAGAAGGCCGGAAGAAGGTGGAACAAACTCGCGAAATGGGCACGGGAATTTCCGCCGCGGCAAGGGCCCTTCAGACCCGGCTCCAAGGTTCTGACCGACTCCAGGGCAGCCGACTTATTCAATCGAGCGGCGAGGGAGCCTCCTCGATTGCGGGCTCGCTACTTCGGCCGGGTGGTCTATGTCGCGGCCTGGTCGCAGCTACATGGACACATCGTTGACACATGGTTCACCGCAACCAGCGACGAGCGCAGGTGGGCGCAGACAGACGGCGCGGAATGGCCCCTCCTGGGACACTGCGCATCCTTCACCGAGGCACACCACGTCCTCCAGTTTCTGGCCAACGGGCTACCCGGCTCTGCGCGACGGCGAAGCGTGGCAGACAGGATCCCCCACCAGTGCAGCTGCGGCGGACCTGCCAAGAGAGTGTGGCTCACCGCGGGCCAGCGAGACGACGGACAGGCCTGGTGTGACACCTGCCTTAGGTCCTGGAGCGGTGAGGCCGCCCTCTGGCCTCTCCTAGACGACGACGCCCTCCCCGAAGACTTGCGCGCACTTGCTGCCGAGCGAAGAAGACACCATGCTAACATTAGCGTCTCCATGCGGCAAGGGCTCTACGGAGCCTGTCCACTCTGTGGCCTTGGAGAAGCCACAACCGAGCACGTGTGGTGCTGGTGCCCCGCGGCTGCCCTTGCCTGGGGAAAAACCAGAGCCCCGGACCATCCCAGGGACCTGGCCACGGCAATGTGCACTAGGGGACAACACCAGAGGCTAGTCTGCCGACTGTTGCACCAGATCTCCTTCAGGTACTGTGTGAACTTGGACTGCACCCCCATTGGTGCTGATTGGTGCTGACGAAGCCGCCAGACTCATTGTCCAGGGTATCGCTGTCCCCGACTCCGACCTTCAGGACGACGACGAAGCTGACGATGACCTGCGCGAAGGGCAGCCTCCCGTCGCCCCGGCAGACGAAGCCGCAGCCTGGGCCCCTATGCTCGACCTCTGTCAGCTGTGCAACCCCAAGGGCCGCACTTACGGCGCATCTGCGGCGCCGCCGGACCACATTTTGGCAGACAAGCACCACGCGCCGGAGGGGAAATCCGGCGCCTCCCTATCACCACGAGAGCCACACTTAGTGGTGACAGGCTAGCAGTCCTCCAAGCCGGTGACCCCAGAGCGGGCTGGATGCCCCCTGGGCAGCCTGCATGGGCCGTCTTGGAAGTTCGGGGCGCGGAATCACCGATTTGTAAAATGGATCGTGGCCTCGGGAGCGCGGACCCATTGTTAATCGCAAGGGATCGTGGCCTCGGGAGGTGGGGCGGTGCGTGTAGGTAACGCGTCCCTGGTGCGGGGGGGGCCTTATTAGAACACAGAGGCCCTACCAGGCAACCCTTGGCGTTCTTCCACGCCTCAACGTGCGCAAGCCACGGTGGCAGATCGCCGCTGGGAGCTACTCCCTCAGAGAGGGGCGCATGATGATATGCACGTATACGACTCCCACCAGCAATTGTTTTGACGCACCTCGCAGTGCCGAGGCCCATAGAAGGCATTCGGGTACCGACGCCGTAAGAGCCATCGCTGTATTCGCGCATCACCGCTGCTTACAACGGCACCGGCCCAAGCGGATGAAATATTCTGGTCATTTCCAGGTCGCCCTGCTACCAGCGGCTCAGCAACCAAGCGCGGCCCACGTGACCAGGGCATTGCGTGGCAGCGTCGATGGCACCGCTCGGCCTGGATGGCCACTTCTACAAGATGGTCCTGCCGATAGTCGCGTGCGAGAGCGTTCTATGGTGGTATGCCTTCCAGTACCTCCAGACTGACCCTCGGACTTGCCAGGTGGTGCTCTCTTTGCTCGGACTCTGGTGGTGCTTCGCGGCTTTGTGGGTGGAGGTGAAGATCGAGATGGCTTATCCTGGATTCGACTACGAGAACCCGACAGACCCACAGATGAAGAGGTACAAGCCGTTCTGCGACTTCGCGCCATGGGCCACGTGCAGCGTGGTGCTCATGTCGCCACCTGGGCGCTTCCTGCGGTACTTCGGAGTCGCCAGGGAGGGCGGCGGGGAGGGCCTCGTCAACTGGGCGCGAGGCATGATCGATGTGCCCAACCCTACGCTCGGAGTCCTCTACTTTGCAGCCCACCTGTTCTGGCCACTGATACTGATATTGCCGATCCCTTTTCTTCCGCAGTTTTTTTTTCTTGCGTGTATCTTCGTGGGCGGCATGACGATTTGGCTTGCCTACAACCTGTTCTTCGTCCTGAAGGACTTCTGCGTGGTCTGCGTCTCGCAGTATGTTGTGAACTTTGCCCTGATTCCGACTGTGTACCACATGCTGCATTCCCGCTACGACATCCTCGACTTCGGCGTAGTGCCCAAGGGACTCCTCTGCCCGTTCCTCGCCCTGGACGCGGTCATGGGCGTCGGGGTACTCCTGTTGTGGCTGTGGTCGCTGCGGAACCCGCGCGCCGCGCACGCGCGAGAGATCCTGAAGGAGGGATACTTTCAGGTGTCGGGCGACGAGACCCGAACACACTCGCGCCCCTGGCCAGACCCGGCCTGGGCCCGCCAGGATCGGAGTATACATGATCCAGGGTTGCCCCCCCTCCCCAGTGTTAATGTGATCGATCCCCCCCCGCTGAATGGGTACGCCCGTGAGCCTCGCGAAGGCCTCGCGAATAGGATCGCTACCCCCCCTGTGTTCTGGGCCTGATGGCGTGGCATGTGGAGGGTGGACGTTCCGCTGCTTTCGCCGAGTACTTTGGGAGAACAAGGTCGCAGGGCCTCGGCGACCAAGGTCTCAGGGCCTTGCGAATGGGATCATACTCCCCCCCCTCCGTGGTCGTGGCCCTGTGGGCGTGGCGTGGTAATGGGTGCCAGTGGGATGGTTCGTCGTCGTCGTTTTCCGTCTTACGCGTCGGCGTCGTCGTCGCTGTCATCGTCGTCGTCGTTGCCGTCGTCGTCGTCGTCGTCGTCGTCGTCATTTTCCATCTTCCGTCGGCGTCGTCGTCGTCGGCGTGATCGTCTTCGTCGGCGTCGGCGTCGGCGACGTCGTCGTTGTCATCGTCGTCGTCATCGTCGTCGTCATCGGCATCGGCATCGGCATCGGCGTCGGCATCGGCGTCGGCGTCGGCGTCGGCGTCGGCGTCGGTGTCGGCGTCGGCGTCGGCGTCGGCGTCGGCGTCGGCGTCGGCGTCGGCGTCGTCGTCGTCGGCGTCGTCGTCGGCGTCGTCGTCGTCGGCGTCGTCGGTTTCGTCGTCGGAGTCGTCGGCGTCGTCGGCGTCGTCTTCCCTCCCCCATCCCCCATCCCCCATCCCATCTGAGGGGTGGGGGGCGTGGAATCCTGGGACCCATCCCATCTAAGGGAGGCTGTGAACCCTCGACCCGGGATCATGCCTTCCTTGCCAAGCCAGGGGGGAGCGTGTACACCCCGGAGTTCCGACGTGACGAAGAAATTGAAACATCGCTAAAATTGCGCCCCGAGCCCTGGACCCTATATTTCTACGGCATGTTTCGAGCGGGATCGATGTGTGATGATCTCACGGCCCGAAACCAGTCGAACATGCCCGGCGTCAAACATAGAATCACGCCCAGATCTCAGGAACCGCTCCTGGGCCCAGGGTTGGGTGGGCCTGGCCTTGGAGCGGTGGGCATGTGCAGATCTTTTTCGCCCTGAGGTGGGCGCCTGACCAGGCCACCCCGGGACGCGAGCCCGGCGGCAAGTGGACGGCGGCGGGGACAGGCGCGCAGCGGCCTCCGCGAAGAGGGCGCCCTGGGGGCTCGCTACGGTGCAGGCGTTGGCTTGGGGAATGTCACACTATTCCGTGTTGTATGGCAACCGGTCGTCACAAGAAAGGCCACACGTTTTTTTGTTTTTGGAACAGGCGGTAGTCATAAAAATTGGTAATCGTGAAACAGTTCACCCGTTCGTTCTATATGATTACCGGCTGTCATAAGCAAGAAAATCGTTCGATGTTTTGTTACAGGAGGCTTCAGACGCTGCAGGAGTCTTTATTCGATGAGGGCGGCAGTAACATCCATGGCCAACCCGCGATTGGAGCTCCGCCAGCTTCCAAACCCTGGATTCCTTATCCAATGCCCTCGCCGTCCGTAGCCATTTTGGCTCAAGATGTCTCCGTCCCCCGTGGAACGCGTGAATACCGCTAGTGTGCGGCTGTCTTCAGTGATGTTCCCTTGTCCTTGGGTCCGCCCCCACGGACAGTTGCTTGCCGTGCCCGCGGTTGAGCAGACTTCTTAGCCTCACTTGGCGCCAGGGTGGGACCCAAGGCACAGCCAGGCTATGTCATCTGCACTGGTTGTCGGTTCCGATGGAGCTTTCGCAGGAACGAGCACTGCTGGCAGTGCGGTCATGCCCCCGAGTTGCCCGCGGCCTCTCCGTTGCCCCGTGGCGTTTGGAGTGACGGCGATTCGCCCAGAGGAGGAGCTCGAAGTGGCCCCAAGGGCAGCAAACCTGAGGCGGAGCTGGTGCTTTGACCAAGGGACCCAAGGGCAGCATGGCCCACGTCGGCAACGGCGCGCCCCCTGGCAGCGGAACCGCCGTTCCGAAGGCCCCGTGGGCGGCTCCGCCCAAGTCCGAGCTGGCCGCGCTGCTGGTCGTCCCCGACCCTGCCATCGCGGCCCAGCTCCGCGAGGCGTTGGAGGCGGCCCGCCGCTTCTCCAGCGGGTCACCGGAGCAGCAGTTGCAGTCTGCCACGGACCGCCGGCTCAACCTGCAGCGCCAGCTGGACGAGGCAGCGGGCGCCACGGCGGCGGCCGAGGAGCAGCTCGCGAACTGCCGTGCGTGGCGCGACTCCAGTGCGTTCAGCCTCGCCGAGGTGCTCACCACCCACCAAACCACCCCAACCCAACCCGAAGGCCCAACTTTATCCTCGATTTCCAGTGGGGGGGGGTCGGGGAACGTTGAAAAAACACATGGTATCCGTACCCCCCCCAACCCGAAATTCGGGTCAAATTCGGGTCTTCGGGTTGGGTTGGGGTGGTCTGGTAGGTAGTCAGGTGCAAGCTGAGGAGACCGCTCTCCTCGGTCGCCGCGCGCAGGCGTCGGGCGTGGGGGCACCAGTGGAGTCGGCCAAGCAGTTCACCTTCCATTTCGACACCGGGTCCAACAGGAACTCCGCGGAGCTGGAGCTGGACGCCCAGGAGAACCTCGAGGGGATGTGCGCCGAAGGTCACGAGATCATGGGCGCCGCCCAGCAGGAGGAGTTCGAGAAGAACTATAATTAAGGAGCAGATGGCCCGCCTCAAGCAGGAGATCAAGGAGGCAGTTGCCAAAAAACGCAGGCGCGACTTGGCTGAGGCGCAGGATGGGGCGGGGCCCCTTGACCAGGGCGCTGCAGGGGGGCTGGATCCAGCTCCCGCCGCGACCCCTCACCATGGAGGCCCAGCCGCGGCGCCCGCGACCCCTCCAGCGGACGAGCCCGACGCCAAATCTCACTTCGTCGCAGAGGTGGCGGCCTTGGGCGCTGCCGCCTCGGACGCCGCCCGCCACCAGGCCGCCGCAGCCTCCGCGCCCGCGGGGGGCCCAGCAGAACTTGGAGGGGTTGCGGCCCAACGGAGGAGCTTGCTGTCCTCGACGGTGTCGGCGTTGAGGACCTCCAGAGGGCAGATCCAATTCTTCCACAGGATGGGACTGGTAGCGCGTTTCCGAGCCAGGCGAACGCATGGAATCGCGGCAGGCCTCTTCATGCTGAGCAGGTTGAAGGATCGTGCGCGAGGCCCCCCTCTACCGTCAAACTCCAACTGCTGAAGGCCGTCGAGCCGCCTGGACCCAAGCCTGCTTCCATCATGTTCACTGGCTCCACGTGGGCAAAGATCCAGGCAGCGATCGAGCCGTTGCTGGGCGACCAGTCCACGGACGACGTGATCTTGGTGCAAGAGACCCGTGCCCCGGCGAAGGTGGCGGAATCGTCCGCCCGTAGGCGGGGCTTAGGAACAGCTTCAGCGCAGACTTCAGGACGTCAGCCTTTGACGCAGCACAGGGACGTCGGCGCAGGCGGTGTCCTTGGGGGCCGGGGTGCTGACGTCCACTCACCGTGGGGTGGCGCCCATGCCCCCAGCGCGGGGGGGCATGTCCTCGCGCGCGCGCCCTGGCAAAGAGGGTCGCGTTCGGCGACCTGCGCCTGGTGTCGGTCAGTCTCTACATGGGGCACTCCGTGCAGTTAGGCGGCGTCAACGCCGAGCTGCTGTCGGAGCTGCAGGTCTTCCTGAACACTCTCAATGAGCCGTTCATCGAAGTTCCTGGTGGCCGAAGGCAGTGGGAGGCGCGGTGGCGGCGCCCTCCCGCCCCACGCGCGGCGACCGCGTCTGCGACTCCTTTGCGATGTGTTCAGGCCTGGCGGCGCTCTCGCCCAGGGCGGAGGTGGTGAGGCCTACTGCAACGCATCCGCGCGCGCCCGTTCGCCTCGCTTTCGCGCGGCTGAGGGCCATGGCGCAGGTCCAAGTGCGCAAGGCGCGCCGTTTCTTCGAGGTCCAGAAGGAGGCCTAGGCCCCGGGCTCGCAGGAGGAGATGGCGCTCGCGGTCAGTCGGCAGGCCCCCCTCCTCGACCGGCGCGGGAGGCCAGATGCCGCGGTTCGCGAGTTCTTTTCCAAGGCCGAGAAAACGTGGTGCAAAAGCTCGGGATCACCGAATGCATGGACAAGTTCTTGGGCAGAGCCAGAGGGATCCGCGCTGCCACCGAGAGCCCCGCGGACCCGCAGAGGACGGAGACCGCGAGGAAGGTCAGCCCCTTCGCGAGGCTATGGAGATTCCTCGGCAGGCTGGCCCGGTCCGCCAGATCAGCTCAGGCGGCCGCGGTCCCCCAACCGCCCGCGGAGCATGCGGCCTACGCCCGCCACCTCCAGAACGCGGCCCATGCCCTGGCGCCGCAATCGGACCAGCTAGACGTCTCCATTTTCAACGAGTCCCACATGGAGGCCCTGCTGGAGGAGGTGAAGACATCCTCGTATGAGAGCGGCTTCCTCGCCTGCGCCATCGAGTAGGCCACGGCCCAGCAGTCCAAGTCGGACGCGGGGGCGGCGCGCGACCGGTGGCGGGCCATCGCGGACGACGCACCGGCAGGGGGTAGAGCGGCCCGCGCCGTCAGCAAGGCAGCCCCCCCACCCCCAGTGCGACGGCATCTTGGGCGTCGCCTCCGAGGACGGGCCCACGACAGCAGGCCTTGGGCCAGATCTCGGTCGAATGGAAGGCGCCGCGGCAGACCGAGAGTGGAGGTCGAGGAGAGCAGCCCGCGGATTGGGCGGGCCAGGTGGATCCGCCGCCTGTCTCCGCAGACAAGGCGCTAGCGGCGGCGAAAACTGTTCCGAGGCGCGCCGCGCTAGTGCGGGTTGGATTCCACCCCGGGCTGCTCCTCCTGCCCGCGCATCCCTTCGCACGGCGGGTCGCCGACGTCCTGGCCGAGCGGAGGCAGCGCCCTGGAATCGTCTTCCTGCTTTACGACGCCGATTGTTCCTTGCGAAGCCCGGCGGGGGCAGGCGGCCCATCGGGCCGATGCGTTGGCGGCTGCGCTTCCAGGGCCGCATGCGTCGCAGGCATTGTGCCAAGTGGGAAGCCGAACGCCGAGACTCCTAGAGAGCTGGTGCCATGACTCCGACACGCGCTGCGACAGGGCGGCCTACATCCACAACGTCAGCCTGGGGGGGGTCCCGTTTGGACGGGGTCTCAGTCTACTTCGACATCAGCAAGTTCCACGAGCGGATCGACCACCCCCTACTCGCGGAGGCGGCCAGGGCCCACGGCTTCAGCTGGGGCTTGGTCAGAGCGCTCTGCAAAGCCTACGCGGGGCCGAGGCGGGCCAAGGCCGGCGGCGCCATCTGCGGGGACATGGTCGCCCGCGGCACGGCCGCGGCTGGCTGCGCCTACGCCGCTGCCCCGGCGCGCCTGGCGCTGCTCGATGCGCTGGCGCGCGGGAGAGAGCTGTTAAAAATTGGTCGACTTATGAACGTGATCGACGACATCTCTGGGCGCGCCTCGGGGCCCCGAGGCGCGCCCACGCGCTCGGCGAACCTCTCCAGCCAGGGCGCGACCCGCGTGCTGAACGACAGGGAGCTCTTGATCAACTGGGGCAGGACTAGGGCCATGGCGCTCTCCGCCCGCCTTCAGAGGGGCCCTCGCAGCCAGCCCGGGCGGGGAACCGCTTGCAGCCAGCCAGCCGCCTTGCAGAGGGGCCCTTGCAGCTTGCCCCCGAGTCCTTCGCGCTTGGGAACCGAGACCTGGGCGGCGACGCGACCGCGGGCAGCCGTCGTCGGGTGGCGCCCCAGGTCGCCAGGAAGATGGGCGCCCCCGGGCAGGCATCGAGGCTCACGAGGATATGCGTACTTGGGCTCCGGCGGGCGAGAATCATGCTCGCTGGCCCTGCGGCCAAGGTCTTCTGGGGTTCGGCCATCTCGGGCACCCCGCCTGGCCGCGCGCGGCGCTGCGCGCGGCCGCGACGAAGTGCGCGGGGCGGCCGCCTGCGCGCGCGGCTCTCAGCTTCGCCTTGCAGCGCGAGCCGCGAAGACGGAGCCGGGCTCCGTTGGTGCTGGCCACGGGTTTGGCGGCGCAGGCCCTCTGCGGCACCGGCTGGGCGGGCCAGGTCTCGCCCGCGGCCGTCCAGGCCAGCGTGGCCGCGAGCCCCCTGGCGCGGCTGGGCCAGCGGCCGCAGGCGGCGGGTCGCGCCACGATCGCGGCGCCCGCCCTTGCGCCCTGGAGCGCATCGGGTGGGCCTTGTCAGACGACGGCCGCTCCGTGCAGGGCGAGTTCGGCCTGCTCGCCAGTCTCCTTGGCCAGTCTCCTTCGACGCCGCGCACTACTCG